CACGTACGTGTCGTCTGCGTAGGAGGTGATGAAAAGAGCTGGAGATTGACGCTGGATGGGGCGAATGGCTAGGTGCTGGGTGAGGGCGAACAAGAATGGCCCGCATGGGTCACCCTGTCGAACACCCGATGATGACTGCAGTGTCTCGATTAATGGGCCGCTGCGGTAATGGAGAGAAGAGGGGGAGGCATAGAAGAGGCGGAAGAAAGGGATGAGGCTAGAGAACCGGGAGTCTCGCAGGGCGTTGAACATAGCGGAACGGCTGAAGGAGTTGAAGGCGTTGGCAACATCCAGTTCCAGCACAACCCACTCTGGGTGGAGGGAGAGGGCCGACTGGACTGCATGGGCCATAACCTCGATCCCTGCGGAGACGGCGACCCCAAATTGTAGGGAGGGAAGGAAGAAGTCCCGGATCTGCTGCTTGAAGTGAAGAGTAACGCAACGGGACAGCAGGCGCGGCAGTATCTCGCCGATGGCGATGGGGCGGACCCCTCCATGCGGCTTCTGGAGGGCAACAAGATTGGATGCGGTGAAGTAAGGTCGAACTGTTTGCAGGAGGTCGCCTTGCAGCCAATTCTGGAACAGGCGGAGAAGATGCGGCAGATGAGTCTGGTACGAGAGGAAGGTGTCGCGAAGATGCTCGATAAGCCACCCCGAAGGGCCAGCAGCTGTGCCTCGTGGGGCTGAACGCAAGGCCTGATGAAGAAGTGGAATGGTGAGCTGAGGCACTTCCGAAGGCGAGAAGTCGGGCAGCCAGTCTGGAAGTTCTTCGGTAGCAGGAGGGTGCTTGGCCTTAAGCGCAGTAACAGTTTCAGGGGTCTGTGGGGCAAGCTCGCCAGCTTCTAAAGCGGCAAGGGAACGCGACCAGTCCCCGCAATGCGCGAATCGTTTGGCTCGGTTCAGTCGGGCGAACGTGGCTGTGGACCGGGCGGATGAGACACTGTGCGGTCGAGACGCTGGAACGGCAGCAGCGACAGCTTCGTTGAAGAGAGAAATCCAGTCGCCTTGAATGAAACGACGTGCAAAGGCTGCACATGCTGCTGTGGCTGATTGTGAGGCAGGAGAAATGGAAGAGCGAAGCACCAGACGGGGGAAAGCAAGGAGGAGGAAATGAGCAGCAGGATCTTGCGGGAAGATGGCAAGGCGGCGAAGTGGTATGAGTAAAGCATCCAAGACCAGCAGGCGAGCTCGCGGCGGAATCCGACGCAACCGTGTGCCTGGGGTGACAGTGGGACTGAAGAACGTCCCCCAGTCCCAGGTTACGACAGCGTCCCAAGTCTGTTGAGATATTGGTGGGGGTGCTGTAGAGGAGGAGGGAGTAGTAGTAGCACGAGGAGGAGGAGGGCGGGCTGATTGCTGACGCGTTGTGTTGTTGCGGGAACAAGCAGAGAGGTGGCGAGTAAGACCACCCGAGCTGGCAAAGTTACGATTACAGGTTTTGCAGTAATATGTTGGGGTCGGGACCGAAGTGGGCAAAGGAGAAGAAGAAGAGGCTGCAGCAGGATGCGGAGCAGATGTCGAAGCAGGAGGAGGAGCAGAAGGAGGAGGTTGTGAAGTTTGCGCAGCTGCAGGTTCAGGTTGGCGAGAAGCGTGCTCTTGGGAGGAGGAGGCTAAGGTTTCAGTAAGGACTTTATGAAGTACGGTCTTCTGTTGTTCTGAAACAAAGCGTGGTGGGGCTGATGACTTAGGGTGTTGAGAAGAAGAGGCTGGGGGTTGTGGAGTATCTGATTCTGGCAATGACGAAGAACGGTGTGTCGTGGCAGAGTCAGTAGGGAGGGATGACGGACGTGGGCGTAAAGGTGGCTGTTGAATCGGTAGGGTTGCAAAAGGTGGGGATGAACGCGAGCGGTTAGGAGGACGAGAGGGGTGTGGGTCCCGGTCTTCAGGCGTCCTGTCCCGCTTACGGTTTGCCATGGTGAGGAAGTGGATTAGAAAGATTCATATGTTGTGCAGTTAGCGGTTTAACAAGTGTGTCAAATTCGCGTTTTGGGAGAGGTAGTAGCGCGGATGCAGCAACGAGATATCATGCAGTGCAGAAGAGGTTTTCGTGGGTAGTTGGGGCTGATCGTGCTGCTGCCGAGGTGCAACGTGCTGGTGCTTGCGCAAATTGAAACACGTGGAAGTGGAGTCGTGTGTGGAAGGTGCAGGTTGGGAGGGTGGGGGAATTCGCGAAGGTGCCAGTCGTCGTGGGGGGTAGAAACAGGTGTAGGCAGGCGTCGTGCTGTCCCCCATTGCTCGATTACTAGCAAAAACCACGCCGTCGCCGAAGGAACTCCTCTCCGCGTCGGACGCTAGTGAGTTTGTCGAGTGAGCTAAGGGAGGTGCCGACGTGGAGAAGCACTGTCAGAGTAGTAGCACGATTCGAATTTCGTCCGCAGCACTGTCAGGGTAGTCGCGCGTAGGGTTTCTCGCAGTTTTAGTGTATGCGTGCAAGTCGCGGCGCGTATTTACAGTACAAAAAAAAGGTGCAAGGTCGCTGTTTTCGCTCCTTAGCGGTGAGTAGTGAGTTCTGCTGCTTTACTCGAGCGAGCAGCAAGGCGATCTACGAAAACGAAGGGCGTTCTAGCGCCTTAAACATTGCTGCAGCGAGCTTGAGTGACGGTGAGGCAAACTACGAAAACGAAGGGCGTTCTAGCGCCTTAAACGTTGCTGCAGCGAGCTTGAGTGACGGTGAGGCAAACTACGAAAACGAAGGGCGTTCTAGCGCCTTAAACGTTGCTGCAGCGAGCTTGAGTGACGGTGAGGCAAACTACGAAAACGAAGGGCGTTCTAGCGCCTTAAACGTTGCCTGTTTATTCATGCACTCTGGCCCCGGCACTTCCAGATGAACTGTGCTGATTGTGTTTTATGGTAACCAATTATCGAGAATTTCCGTAGAAGTCTTCGTAAAGCAGCTCATTAGCCTTCACGACCGTCGTTATTGTTGGTTTTCTTCTCGTTTCCTGCCATCCGTCATGTGCGAAACTCCCAGGAGAACAATGTGGGTTGCCTCCACATTTCCAACTGTACGAAATTTCCGCAAAGCAAAAATGATATGCTGATATAAACGAGCCCTCGCATCAATCCGCTGGTATATTTTTCCTTACTATTCGTAGCAACTTGGTAGACGTGGCTCCTCCAGCCATCCCATCCGCATACCTTAGAAAGAGGGGACGATAAGGGAGATAAAACACCTTCAACCTCTTTCTATGGTCTCTCGCTTCTCCATCTGTCCTTGGCTGTTCGAGTAGCGGGGGGTGCAGTAGTCTCGTATCCGCGCTGCTCGTTTTCTATCTTGTAGATTCAACGCGCGATCGTCACCCGATCGCCAAATCTGTTTCGCTGTCGTCTGCTGCTGCGTATCTTCTCTGTAGAAAACCCTAGAATCTGAGGCTCGGCCGTCAGTATCGTCGTTGAGCCGTCTCAGAAACAACCCTTTATCGCGAGGCTTTGCCATCACTGTTGTCATTGTCCTCGCATAGCTTGTTCTCGAAATTAGTTGGCGGCTTTCACTCTAACGATCAGATACAGTGCACTAGAGCGACTCGGCGTCGAAGCCGCGTCGCCTGCTTTTGCCGACCGTATCGCTACTCTTGCTGCTTCGCGTGCTCGTAAATGCGGTTCGAGGACCAAACCGTTGAGCGATTTCAACCTCTGCCGTCGTGAAATAGCAGACCCACGAGTAACCACCGAACGACGAGTAATCGCCAGACAACGGGTAATCGCCATACAACGGGTAACCACCAGACAACGGTTAACCACCAGACAACGGGTAACCACCAGACAACGGGTAACCACCAGACAACGGGTAACCACCAGACGACGGGTAACCACCAGACAACGGGTAACCACCAGACAACGGGTAACCACCAGACGAGCTGACCTGACGAGCAGCTAAGCGTATTAATAACAGGAGGGGTCAGTTCCACGCGAGCGAGCGGAGCGGACTGGTAACCACCAGACGGCGTGACGGCGTGTACCAACTGACGAGCAGCTAAGCCAGTACTAGTAACAGGAGGTTTCAGTTAGGCGCGAGCGAGCAGAGCGGAGCAGAAGGCGCGATGGCGTCGTGGTTGATGCGGCTGAAATACGCGACGCAGAAGTGCTCGCTGTACAGTTTCTTCCTCGTGCGCGTGAGTGCTGGTGTGAGAGAGTGACTGTGAGAGAGTTGATGCTGTGAAAGAGTGCGGGTGTGAGTGCGGGTGTGAGAGAGTGCGGGTGTGAGAGAGTGCGGGTGTGAAAGAGTGCGGGTGTGAGTGAGTGCTGCTGTGAGTGAGTGCTGGTGTGAGAGAGTGAGTACGATGTGCGAGTGCTCGTGCGTGTGAGTGCTGAGATCACTCTACCCTCCATGCTCCCCCGCCTGCCCATTCCCATTCCTGATTGCAGACCCACATGGAGCAGCATCAAGGGGAGCTCCCCCCCATGCATCGCCACACCCTAATGGCACCACTTCTCTTGCCAGTTGATCCATGCCTCTCGCCCACTCTCTTGCCCATTTCCCTCTCGTCTTATTGCAGACCCACATGGAGCAGCATCAAGGGGAGCTCCCTCCAATGCATCGCCAAGCTAGTGAGAGCTCTCAACAGGATGGTGCAGCAGCATGAGAACTGATCTATGGCATCCCTGACGCCCTCTCTGTTACTCACTTCCCGTGCCACATGCCAGACCCACATGGAGCTGCCCCCATCGCCAAGCTAGTGAGAGCTCTCAACAGGATGGTGCAGCAGCATGAGAACTGATCTATGGCATCCCTGAAGCCCTCCCTTTGAGAATTCTCAAAAACCAGATTCCGCACCACGGGCAACCTACTGGCGCCACTCCCCCTGCCAGGCTGACTGGCCCTGACATAGCTTTCTCCCTCCCTCCTGCCCATCCCCCCTGCCTCATGTCAGACCCACATGGAGCAGCATCAAGGGCAGCTGCCCCCCATTGGCAAGCTTGTGTGGACTCTCAACAGGATGATGCAGTATGAGAAATCATATATGACGTCTTTGAAGCCTTCTGTGGTAGGAGACGAGTCCATGAAGCCGACTATAAGGGGGATGAAGGACGAGTGGGTGCTCTGCCGGCTTCTGATGCCGCCCCCTTGGCTGTGAGTGTGCTGCCCCAATTGCAGTTAGTGAGTGTGCCGCCCGCCCCAAATGGCAGTTAGTGAGTGTGCCGCCCGCCCCAAATGGCAGTTAGTGAGTGTGCCGCCCGCCCCAAATGGCAGTTAGTGAGTGTGCCGCCCGCCCCAAATGGCAGTTAGTGAGTGTGCCGCCCATTTGGCATTGAGTGTGCCACCCATTGCTTTCTCATAAGTCTAATTCGATGTCCCGCTTGCTCTCCCCCGTGGCAGCACCGTGTCCGTTGGAGCCGTGGTGGGGTTCCTAGTCGGCCCCACGCGTGTTTCGTTTTGAGCCGACTCAGAGAACTTCTGACTCAGACGTGTCCCCTCTTCTTAAAAACCCTTCCCAATTCCCCGTTGCTCTCCCTCATGGCAGCACCGTTTCCGTTGGAGACGTGGTGGGGTTCCTAGTGGACCCAGCACGTGTTTCTGCTGCGTCTGCTGCTGCATCTCCTGCTTCCCCTGCTGCCTCTGCTTCTCCTGCTTCTGCTTCTGCATCTGCTTCTCCTGCCGCCTCTGCCACTCCATTCCCAGTTATTTTCCGGCAAGTCGCAGCCATTCCTGGAGACGAGATGGTGTCATCTCAACCGTCGGATGAACCGTTTCGGATAGAGAAGAAGCAGTTCTGGGTGCTTGCAGACAGCCCGGCTGTTCCTGCAAAGGTGCGTTCAGTAGGGTGATCATTTGAGGGTTCTTGGATAACGTATACTGAAGGATAGAGACGGGCCAGTTACCAACCGACAAAGAGGAGGACCAGTTCTGGGTGCTTGCAGACGGCTCAGCTGATCCTGCAAAGGTGCGTTCAATAGGGCATTCATTTGAGGATACTTGGAATGGGAAAGGTACGTTAAAGGACGATAGTAAGGGTTCTTGGAAAAGATAAGGGTATGTTATAGGGCGGTTTCGTAAGGGTACCTGGATAAGATAAAGGTATGTTCCCAGATCTTGGGACATTTTCCAGTGAGCAGCACTTGCGTAGGAGTGGGTTTAAGTAGGAAAAGGCAGTGTGTAAAACTAACACTAGCTAATCACCGAGAGTTTGTGAAGCTGGAGCTCTTCTCGTTAACAACAACTAAAACAGGGCAAACATGTTTCGGCTGAAAGGGCATCCCCTAACGAGCCTTCATCAGTGCGACAAGAATGAAAGACAGAGCGAAGCAGAAGCCTTAAAAGAAAAGCTAACGCCCCCAAAAAAACAAACTCAAGGTTATCTACTCCCTGGCCCAGCCCGAAATTCGGGGGACCAATCCAGGCTGCCCTGGTAAACACCAAGGAGCCACGTCTTCAATCCTCGAGGGTGTCTTGAAGTGTAGTTGGGTCCAACCCTTCGCCGCGCAACAGATTCGGTAGTCGCGCGCGCACCAAAAGCTTCAGCAAGCTACACCCAATCGTCCAAGCAACAAAAATTATTTCAACATAAAATCCGTGTGTGATGAGCCTAGTTTGAGTCGACTCAAAACTAAGGGTACCTGGATAAGATAAAGGTATGTTCCCCAACGTTCTTTCACCTTCTCTGCCTCTTGCCTGAAAGCTCTTCTTCTTTTTCTTGCCTTTTCTAACCCTCAATAATCTTTGCCCCTCTTCACTCCATCTATTTTTTCTCCCTCCCAGGAGGCCTTTCACCGCCGCACGATCGGGCCAGCGCAGTCTCACCCAGGGGAACCACAGCAGCTCCTAGCCAGGAATCCATCTCTTCCCGTGCCTCAAAACCCATCTCGGGCCAGCACAGTCTCACCCAAGGGGACAGCACAGAAGCTCCTAGCCAGGAATCTATTCACTCGTTTCGTGCTCTAAGTCCATTTCCTGGTCCATCTTGTTCTTTATTCTCTCTCAGGAGGCCCTAGACAGCCGCACTCTTGGTCCCGTGCACGTGAGAGACATGGTGGGGAGAGCAGCCCCTCACCATGACCCTAGCCAAGATCCCGATTCCCTTCCCCTCCTCTCTCTCTGTACATCCTCCCTCCCAGGAGGCCCTAGACAGCCGCACGCTCGGTCCAGTGCACGTGAGGGACATGGTGGGGCGAGCTCTGTATGTGGTGCGCTCAGCACTGGACCATGAACCCATACACAACAGGTGCGGCCTTTAATTCCTGCTTAGCCCTGAGCCCTTACAGAGAAGGCGCTATCAGCACTGCTTCCCTTGCTTGGTGCGCATGCCATCCTGCTGAGTCTTACTGTAAGTGGGGAGAGCTCTGTACATGGTGCTTTCAGCACTGCATCATGACCCATACACAACAGGGTGCAGCCTCCGAGTCCTCACTTAGTGCGTATGCCATGGTTCGTAGGCTGCTTGAAACAACTTTTGAGGCGCCTCAAAAGTCATGCCATGGCTCTTAGGCTGCTCAAAACTCAGTGCTGGAACATGAACCTGCACAGAACACATTGGAACCCTTGGTTGGTGCACACACCATGTCTTGCTGCATCCTGCTGAGTCTTGCTGAATCTTGGTGTGCCATTGGAGCCTTTGATTCTAGTGCATGTGGTAAGTTCTATTGACCCGCCATGCTGCAAACAGTGCATGCCTGCTCCCATCCGTAAAGCCGCTGACTCATCCAGCCTTCCTTCCTCCCTTTGCCGGCATGAGTGAGCCATTGCAACCCTTGTGTAGTTGTCGTGCTCATGGTCATTCACATTGTCCCGCCATGCTGCAAACAGTGCACTTTTGAGGCGCCTCAAAAGCCATGCAGCAAACAGTGCATGCCTGCTCCCATCCGTAAAGCCACTGACTCATCCAGCATTCCTCCCTTTGCCTCCTTTCCCTGTCCCCCACCCCCTCGCCCCCATCTCCCACTCTCTCCCATCCGTATAACACCTATTTTCTGCATCTGCCAGTGATGCACCATTACCATGTCACCTCACCCAGTCATCCTTTTCTTGCCTCGTTTCCCTCTTCCCCAGCCGTTCTCTCCCCCCCCCTCCCCCCCCTTCCAATTTCTGAAAACACCCATTTGTCCCCATCTGTCATTGATCAGCCCATGGTAAACGACGCAGCAGTTATTGGCTCATCCAACCTTCCTTTCCTTGTGATAGAAGAAGTGTTTTGAGATGTCTCACGTGGCCCATCCAACCTTCCTTTCCTTGTGATAGAAGAAGTGTTTTGAGACGTCTCACGTGGCCCATCCAACCTTCCTTTCCTTGTGATAGAAGAAGTGTTTTGAGACGTCTCACGTGGCCCATCCAACCTTCCTTTCCTTGTGATAGAAGAAGTGTTTTGAGACGTCTCACGTGGCCCATCCAACCTTCCTTTCCTTGTGATAGAAGAAGTGTTTTGAGACGTCTCACGTGGCCCATCCAACCTTCCTTTCCTTGCCTCGGTTCCCTCTTCCCCACCCCGTCGCTCCTCTCTCTGGAAACACCCCCATCTGCCAGTGACCAGGCCATGTTAGATGACTCAGCAGTGATGGCAATGGAGTGTAATATTGAGGACCTGTTGAAGCGGATAAACGAATGAAGGCGGTAGTCAGAGTGACTGGTTTTTCACCAACCACCAGATGACGAAGCAGTAATGACAATGGGTGTCCCATTGAGGATCTGCTGAAGCAGATCAAATTACACTGGCAGTGATCAGATAGTTTTCTCACCACCATCGGCCCACAATAGATGATGCAGCAGAAATGTTAAAATAGTGTCCTGTAGAGTGCCTGTTGCAGCAATTTTCTCTGGATCATTCTCTGCTAGGGTTTTTTGGACAATAGATGATGCAGCAGAAATGTTAAAATAGTGTCCTGTAGAGTGCCTGTTGCAGCAATTTTCTCTGGATCATTCTCTGCTAGGGTTTTTTTCATCCAGCGTGCCAGTGGTACAATAATCATTGTGCTATTCTACCACTCACTCATTCATCCAGCAGCATGATCTACCGTATGAAGTACAATAATGTATGGAAGTTGTGATCATAATGGGACGTCTAGTCTAGTGTAAAAAACATACCTACCTCCTCCAAGGAACGGCATATTCTTCATGGTACTTATCTTCCAGTCATTTTACATCACGAGCAAAATGTCCTGGCTTCTGGCTTTGAATGATCACACCAACCATGCCCTCATACCATATGTCAGGGTAAAACCCTTGATTTATGGGTATTGGTTGGTGTTGCTGATTCCTGAGATTTTAGGGTAACTGATGTACATGCCCTACACTTTCATTATATTCTATTGTGCAAGCCCTGAGATTTCAGGGTGTTGTGCCACTTAATGCCCTGGGGTTTCTGGGTTCATTACAATCCTAACCTGTTTCTGACCCGGTCTGGCCTTGTCGGGCGTGGTCTTGCATAGTTTGGGGCCTGGTACGCCTATTCGTCGTGCTGCTGTGGCCTGATCAGGAAGGACTGTTATATACTGCTCCGTTGTGACATGCTTTGACCTGGCCTGGCCTGGCCGTGTCTTCACTGGTATGGCCTAGTTTTGTCTCATCTGGCCCTCTCTGACCTGATAAGGCCTCCTGTCCTCTGTCCTAGTCGGGCCTGGTCAGGTGCAAGTGTTTCCAGATGCAACCCTTATTCGTTGTTGAGCAGCCAGTGCCCCTGACCGACACCAGCCACGCCAGCACCAGCACCCAACTCGGCACTCCCCGCACCACCGTTGATATGCGGTTACCTGTTACCCGCTACCCTGCTGCTACAGCAATGCATCACCATCTCACCTTCACATTCGGAAGCCGCACGTGGCTGACGAAAGCAACACAGATGGCGGCGCCGAGGGCGTTGTTGAGCAGCCAGTGCCCCGACACCAGCCAGCTGAGCACCAGCGCTGCGCTCACTCACTGCTCCCAGCACCAGCACTGATTCCCACCCTGTTACCTTGGTGCCACAGCATTACCGTCTCACCTTGACATTGGGAAGGCGCACGTGGCTCACGAAAGCAACACAGATGGCGGCGCCGAGTGCATTATTCAGCAGCCAGAGCCCCAACACCAGCCAGCTCAGCACCAGCACTGCTACACTGTTACCTGTTACTTTGGTGCTACAGCGGTACCATCTCACCTTCACATTCGGCAGCCACACGTGGCTGACAAACGCCACACAGATGGCGGCGCCGAGTGCGTTATTCAACAACCAGTGCCCCGACACCAGCCAGCTGAGCACCAGAGCGGCGCTTAGCCCTCCCAGCAGCAGCTGCGTGCGCGTCACCGCTCCCAGCACCGTGCTGCTGCTGCTGTCAGTGCTGGGGGTGATGGTGGTGTTGGTGCTGCTACTTCTACTGCCAGTGCTGGCTGTGGTGGCGCTGCTGGCGGTTTTGCCAGTGGAAGACATCCCAAAATGTGCTGGTTTCATTTCTTACGTAGGAGCAACTCTAGGGTAACAATTCCGTAAGATTTTCAAGACCTACCTCAAAGATTGTGGCCAACATTCCTGGTTGTAACTTCGGTTGGGATCGGCCTGAAGGAACCAACTCGGAAATTCTTATCGCTTAATCGCAGCCGTACATCTTTTGTGTTTCAGAACTTACTCTCGGGTATCTATGAACTGAACTAACCAATCGCATCTCGTCGGCTGGCCGTGCTGATTGGTTTGATTCAGGAAGCTGCGTGTCGAAATTTGACGAGGTACAGTTCCCGCGTAGAATAGAATCGAGTCAATTCACTGCACGTGGAATATTTTTATTCGTCAACATCTGACACATCGATGCCACCAATACCTGGGATATACTGTAGTGAAACTTTTGCTTTTTCCAGATGTCGTTATCACATTACACTTCATTTGTGATCGTATCGAGCTGCTATTGTTATTTTTGCATTACTTTCGATAACAGATTGTAACAGCGATGTGCAATTATGATGCGCATATAAACCGTATAACTCCATTTTGTAAAATGTTTATTGTTCGTCTGCATATCCAAAAATATATCGCTACCAGTATGCGATCATTATAATTTCATAATATTACAATACAAGCTACATTTCAAAACAATGTTACAGATGCTGCTCCCGTTACCCCCGCCTGAAGGAACTTCAGTGGAAGCTGAAACATATCTACATACAAGATGCTAATATATAATATGCTAATATCCAGCATTAGCTTGCACCACCTTGCCACACCAAGCTGGCCGATATTTCATGCGTGTCTCTGCATCATTATAAACGACTCTGTTGGGAGAGAATAGAGGGGTGCGGAGAGGGAGCGGACGGTTAGCAAACGAGAAAAAAAAAGGGGGGTTTAGTCTGGAGGATGGGAGAGAGAAACCAGAGAAGATGCGGCCAGACTTGGTAGCGGTAGCGGTTGCATGGAGAGGCGAGGGACTAGGGGAAGGTAGCAAGAATGCACGAGTCATACCATGCAAAGACGAACTGTCGTCATCGTCACTCCCGGCGGCAGATCCGCCTCACAATCGCCGACGAATGAGCTGCAGGCGCGAGAGCACGTGCAGGCGGCGGATCATCGTCCGCACGCATTTCCGCGCCGAACTGTCACGCGAGGTGGAGCGAGTTCCAACAATGGCCTGTCGTAGAAACAACGGCGATATGGCGTGGCGGCGCTCTTTGATTATACAAATAGGAGAAATGAAAAAGTGGGGAAGGGAACGCGAAGAAGCGGGGGAAACGAAAAAGGAATGAGAAATGATCGACAAAGCAGGACACAATAAATTGCAATCGTAAACGACGCCAATTCGCGTTGTACAAGCACGTCCCAGAGACGTACCGAGGCGGCGATCGCGCTGATGACGGGCGGGAGGCGAGATGTTAGGAGCAGCGAACCTCACGGAATCATCTGCAAACACCCTCGCATCGGCTCACACACTGTCGTTGTTGCGCACGTAGAACAACACCTACGACAACGAAGGGAAAAACGCCGGAGGGCGATATCTTGGAAGCCGGGCACTGACGACCTAAGAACTACCATCACAGCTATCAATCGAGCACAAAAAGCAAGCTAAACGAGGAGAACTGAAAACAGCAAGTGCAATTCAAGAGGGAGAGAGGACGGAATACAAGATGACTGCCTGGTGCCAAGGAATGACTCTGTTCTGTTGGAACAGTTGAGCGCTGTGCCTTGCACCGCTGTCATTTTGTCGTTTCTTTGTTTTCTCCACTTGTATTTTTTTTTTCCACAACAGTTCTCGGGAGAAACAAGTACCGGTT